TTTTAGAAACAGGGTCTTACTCTGTTGCCCAGGCTGGAGTGCAGTGGTGCAATCATAGTTCACTGCAGCCTCGAACTCCTGGTTTCATGTGATCCTCCTGCCTGGGCCTCCCAAAGTGCTAGGACTACAGGCATGAGGTACCACATCTGGCCCAATTTTATTACTCTTTCTAAAAAACTGACCTTTGACTTTGTTAGTTTTCTCTATTTTACTGTGTTCCATTTCATTGATTTCTGATCTTTATTGTTTATTTTTTCTGTCAACTTTTTTGGGGGATTTGATTTGTTATTCTTTCTAAAACTTACCGAGATTGAAAATTAGATCTTACATTTCAACTTTTATTCTTTTATAGCATATGCTTTTAAAACTATTAAGTTCCCTCTAAACATTTCTTTAGAGATACCCCACAGGTTTTGGTATTTATTTCCTTTCAATTAAAAATATTTTAAAATTTCCATTGTGATTTTTTTGACCCAGGGGTTATTTAATTACCAAATATTTAGGCGTTTTATGGTTATCTTTCTGTTATTGATTTCTTGTTTAATTCTACTGAAGTCTGAAAACACACTTTGTATGATTTTAACAATTTGAAATTTGTTGAAGTTTGCTTTATGGCCCCAAAAAAGTCTGTTTTGGTAAATGTTACTTACATGTAAACTTGAGGAAAAAAATGTATTCTGAATTCAGGTAAAATTAGTTAATTATATTGTTAAAATCTTTGGTAGCCTTACTGATTTTCTTCCTGTTTGTTCTTTTAGTTCTTGAGAGAAGTATGTTAAAGTCTCCAGTTATAATTGGGTATTCATGTATATCTCCTGGAAATTCTGTCAATGTTAGTTTTATATGTTTTGAAGTAATATTAGTACGTACATACAAGCTAAGGATCGTTATAGCTTCTTGTTGAGTTGACCCTTATCAGTATGAAATGTTTCATATCTTTAATTGAAAGATAAAAATTATATATATTTATGGTATACAACATGATGTTTTGAAATATGTATACATTATAGAGTGTATACATTAAGCTAATTAACACATGTATTACCTTACATTCTTATTTTTTTGTGATAAGAATACTTAAAATCTACTTTCTCAGCAATTTTCAAGCATACATACATTGTTATTAACTACAGTCACCATATTGTACAATAGATCTCCTTAACTTATTCTTCCTGTGTAGCTGAAATTTTTTATCCTTTGACCAACATTTCCCTGATTTTTTTTTATCCATTCATTCATTAATAGACACCTACATTGATTTTATATCTTGGCTATTGTGAATAATGCTACAGTGAACATGGGAGTTTAGTACTGATTTTATTTCCTTTGGATATATACCCAGGAGTAGGATTGCTAGATCATAAGGTAGTATATTTTTAATGTTTTGAAGAACCTCCATACTGTTTTCCATAATGGCTTTACTAATTACATTCTCACCAATAGTATGCAAGAGTTCCCTTTATCTTCCATTATTGTGAACACTTGTTATCTTTTGTCGAAGACCTTTATATCTGCAGAACCCGAAGGTACAAGGACAGGAAGCAAAATTTTTACTAGTGGATCATTAAAGGTAATATTGAGAGGGAGCCACTTCCAATTCTACCCCTTGATAACCAGACTCATGAATGCCACCATATGCCAACATATGGTGAGAAATAGTACCATATGTTGGTTGTTGATTCAGAGCATCTACTACAATATGGAAGACATCAACCTAGTCTGAAAAGTGTTATCACTGTAACTCTATTGTAACTGAGTCTCCAAAATGCTATTCCACCATCCTATCAGGCCAGTTGCTTTAGGGTGATTGGGAACAAGGTAAGATCAGTGAATTTCAAGAGCATGTACCCATTGGTGTGCTACATTTGCTGTGAACCAAGTTTTCTGATTAGGAGCAATGTTATGTGGGATACTATGACAGTGAAAAAAGCATTTTCAGAGTACATAGATGGTAGTTTTTGTAGAAGCATTGTGCACATGGAAGCATAAAGTGTTAGTTCCAGTGAGAACAAAGTGTTTCCCCTTCCATAATGGAAGTGTTTCAAATAATTGATCTGTCATAGGAAGCTGTCTAGTTCTGCCAAGGAATTATGCCATATTAGGTCCTCAGTGTTGGTCTCTGCTTTGGCAAGTTGGGCACTCAGCAGTGGCAGTAGCCATGTCTGCTGAGTAGAAATTCCTGTTGCTGAAGTCTATGAATAAACTCCATTCCTGCTGTCATGGCCACTTTGTTCATGAGCCCATTGGACAAGGAGAGCAGTGGCTGGGGAAAAAGGCTGCCTGATTCCAAAGAATGAATCATCTTGCCCATCTGATTATTAAGATTCTTCTTTGCTGAGATTGTTCTTTGTTGAACATTCATATGGAACACAAATATATTCACCCTTGGTGCCCATTTGGAGAGGTATGTGCACATACCCCTTTCCCCAGACTGTCTTGTCACCAATTTTCTAACCATGTTCATTCCAAATCTCTGACCTTCCAGACAAATCATCAGTCAGCATCCATTTATAGATCTATACTTCTGGCCATCTTCCAGGCACAATACAAACCAGATATGCTACTTGACGTTCTAACCCATGGAAGGATTTCACTTCTCCACTGTACTTCAGAGCCAACTCTGAGTGAGGTTGTAGTATATGTGGAACTTCCTACAGGTCACACCTTGTACTTGGCCTCCTGAAGCCTGCTAGGACTTGAGTTTGACCAATAGAATGTAGAATAAATGTTGCTGTGTGACTTCCAAGATAAGGCCTTAAGCAGCATTGCAACTTCTACTTTCTCTCTCTCTTTGGTACTTTGAAATCTCCATGCTATGAAGAAGCCCAAACTGAAAGTCTATGTGGAGAGAAAGCCATCCTAGATATTCCAGTAATCCCAGCTGAAAACCCAGATACGCGTGTGAGCCATGTTAAATTACCCAGCTCCAACTGATCAGGCAGCTGACTATAGCCACATGTGTGAGTCCAAGCAAGAGCAGCGGAACTCCTCTGTCAACTCACAGAAAGAAAGAAATAATGTAGTTGTTGTTCTAAGCCACCTAAGTTTTCGGGTGACTTGTTATGTCTCAGTAGATAACTGATATAGTAATCTACATATTTAGAAGACACTTTTAAGATTTTAAACCATAATACAATTTTTTTTGATACTCAATGTAAGATTTTACTTGGGGAAAAGTATGTCTTCCTTTCAAAAAAAATACCATTTGTGTTGACATGGGCTATACCATCTTCCATAGGCAATTGCAACAGGGCTTTGAATTGTCATACTGGTACTATGGATTAATTCAGTTTGAATTTATTTGATTTGATTTAACATAAGTAAATTGAGGAGGGGAGTTTACCAAGAGTAATTAGGAGGTTTGCAGGGGATAGGGTTTGAGAGGAGGGTGTTACCAAAGAAATAGTTTTCTAAGGTAGAAGAATTGTTTGGGGTAAAATTTCAAGTCTGTTATGAGCTGGCTTCATAAAAATCCCTGTGCCTACTTGATGCCCAAAATTCTTTTAGCAAGACATTAGTCCTTTTGTTTAAGAATTAAGTGTAAATAATGCAGATCAAAATGTCTGCCTGATGCAACTTGCAGAATAATGTGTTTTAGTGAGGTAAAATGCACTAGAACCAGGAGGATCAGAGCAGAGACATTAGCTATCTTTAGTGATGCTAGGAAAAGGATGTATGATCTGAGATTGTAGGTAAAGAAACAGATTCAAGATTTTTGCCTATGGTGGATTTCATTTAAATTGTGTTCAAATGGACAAATAATAAATGTTTTCATTGTTCAAAAAAAAAAGAAAAAGAATTGTTTGGGGTTGGCTGACTAAATTTGCACTAATGTAAAAAGTGGCAAGGTTTGTAAATTAGTGGAATTACTACAGGAATGAGGAAGATTCTGCAGTGGTAACAACTATTAATATTTACTGAGTGCTTTCTTGTGCCAGAAACTATTCTAAGTGTTTTACAAATATTAATTCATTTATCCCTCACCATAGCTGTATGAGATAGCTACTATCATTCCCATTTTATAGTTGAAGAAACTGAGTACAGAGAGGTTAAGCAACTTGTTCAGGGTCACACAGCTAGTAAGTACTAACAATTGAACCCAATCTGAATACTGTACTGTGAATTCTTAAGTAGTAGGCTGTATTTTGTTTTTCTCCTAGATTACAGTGGAGAGTATACTGACGTGATCCAACCAAAGTTTTGGATATTATATTTATAGTTGGTAGTGATGTAGTTATAAATTTAAGAGTAAAACTCTTTGCAAGAATGCTACCAATATTACCTGGCTTATTGAAGCAAACCCTGAGTGGATAATATCTCTAAAATCTTGTGTACATACATAAAATTATGGTTTTTATTATAGTTTTATTTTATGGTTTTTACACATTTTTTCCCTAATTGGGCAAAAAGCTAAGTAGAAGTAGAAAATCCAGTTTGACCATAAAATCTCATGTGTTTGAACCTTTAGAATGTCACTGTATACCAACGTTTGAAAAGTCTGATTGATTTAAGAAGACAAGGGGAACCACGTCAGATAATGAAATATATTAATCCTAAAGAGGTAAGTACATTACTTATTGATATAGCATCTTATTTTTTCTGTTAAAATGTGTGGCTGCTTTATCAGTTCAGTGTGCTCATGTCTGTTTCATTTTTAAACTCTTCTATTAAAGTATTATTACAAGTTGAAAGTTCATAAAACATAAATATATAGCTCAATGAATCCACGCAAAACTAACACCCATCACACAGATCAATGTTTTCGTACTCCATGTCACCCCCTTCAGGTTCCCTACTACAAATCACTGCCAACTTCCTCCTTCTAAAAGGCAATCACTATTTTGAATTCTAACATTATACTTTAGTTTTGTTTTTGAACTATATATAAATAGAATGCCTATAGTATGCTTTAGGAGTATAGATTTTTTCCTCATTCAACATTACATTTGAATGTACATAGCTAAATGTCAATCATTTTTAATTAATAGGCATTATTCCCTTTTATTAACATACTACTGTTTATTCATGCAACAGTTGATTGACCTTTGTATTGTTTCCAGTTTGGGGCTATTATAATAACTGCTTCTAGGAATGTTCTTATTCATGTCTCCTGGTGTAAACATGCACACACTTTTTTTGGCTTATACTCGAAATGGAATTGCTGAGTGATGAGTTATGCTTATAACAACTCTAGGAGATAATTCCAAACTATTTTCCAAAGTTATACTAATTTATATTCATACCAGCAACTTTGGGGAATTCTTAATATTCTACATCCTCACTAACACTCGATATTGTTAGTTTTTAATTTGCATTTCCCTAATACTAATGAGGTTGAAAATCTTTTGTGAAATGCTTGTTCAAGTTTCCTATGAATATGAGTGTGTTGAGGGGGGCGGCACACGTGTGCGTCTCCTCTATTCTTACTGGTTTTTAGCAGTTATTTATATGTTTTTTTTGTTGTTTTTTTTTTTTGTAGAGACAGGGTCTCACTCACTGTGTTACCCAGGCTGGTCTTGAACTCTTGGCTTCAAGTGATCCACAGCCTCCCAAAGTGCTGGGATTACAGGTGTGAGCCACTGTGTCTGGCTATATATTCTATTTTTATTACTATTTCTTTTTTTCTAATTTATTTTATTGTGGTAAAATACGCATGACATAAAATTTACTGTCTGAACCATTTTTTTAAAAGAGACAGGGTCTTGCTTTATTGCCCACACTGGAGTGCAGTGGCGGGATCATAGCTTACTCACTGCAGCCTCAAACTCCTGGGCTCAGGTGATCCTTCAGCCTCAGCTGCCCAAGTAGCTGGGGGTACAGGTGTGTGCCACCACACCCAGCTAATTTTTCTTGTAGAGGGGGTCTCACTATGTTGTCCAGGCTGATCTCAAACTTCTGGCCTCGAGCAATCCTCCTGCCTCGGCCTTCCAAAGTGCTGGGATTACAGGCATAAGCCACTGCATCCAGCCCCAGTGCAGTTTTGTTACATGGATATATTTCATAGTGGTGAAGTCTGGGCTTTAGTGTAACCATCACCCAAACAGTGTACATTGTGCCCATTAAGTAAGTAATTATCCCTCTCTCCCCTCCCATTCTCCTACCCTTCTAAGTCTCCAGCGTCTATTATTCCACACTCTGTGTCCATGTATCCACATTATTTAGCTCCCTCTAGTAAGTAAGAACATGTGGTATTTGACTTTCTATCAAATGTGGTCATATGGTAATTGATTTCTGAATTATTTCACTTGAGACAGTGGCCTCCAGATCCATCCATATTGTTGCAAAAGACATGATCCCATTCTTTTTTATAGCTGAGTAGTATTCTATGGTATATATACCACATTTTCTTTATCCCGTCATTGGTTAATGGACACTTAGGTTGATTGCATATCTTTGATATTGTGAATAGGGCTGCTATAAACACATGAGTGCAGGTATCATTTTGATGCAATTATTTATTTTCCTTTGGGTGTATACCCAGCAATTTTTGTATATGGCGAGAGATATGGGTCAAGTTTCATTCTTCTATGTATGGCAATCCAATTTTCTCAGCACCATTTATTGAAAAGGGTGTCCTTTCCCCAGAATATGTTTTTGTTGACTTTTTTTTTTTTGTCAAATACTAATTGGTTGTAGGTATTTGGCTTTATTTCTAGGTTCTCCATTCTGTTCCATTGATCTATGTGTCTATTTTTACACCAGTACAATGCTGTTGTGGTTACTATAGCCTTGTAGTATGATTTGAAGCCAGGTAATGTGATGATGCCTCTAGCTTTGTTCTTTTTGCTTAGGATTGCTTTGGCTATTTGGGCTCTTTTTTGGTTCCATATGAATTTTAGCATTTTTTTTTTTTAATTCTGTGAAAAATGACTTTGGTAATTTGATAGGAGTTCTTTGAATCTGTAGATTACTTTGGGAAGTATTTTAACAGTCATTTAACTTTTAACATTTTAACAGCAGTCATTTTAACAATACTGATTCTTCTGATCAATGAATATGGAATGTTTTTGCACTTGGTTTTGTCATCTACAATTTCTTTAAACAGTGTTTTGTAGTTTTCCTGTACAGATCTTTCACCTCCTTGGTTAAATATATTTCTAGGTATTTTACTTATTTCTTTTGTATCTATTATAAATGGGATTACCTTCTTGATTTGGCTTTCAGCTTGATTGTTATTGGTGTATAGAAATGCTACTGATTTTTGTACGTTGATTTTGTATCCTGAAACTTTACTGAATTCATTTGTCAAATCTTTTGGAGGTGTCTTTAATAGTTGTGCATTTTGACATGTCTGGAAGTTCCCTGAGAAGCACAGAGGTTTGCCTTTGTTTCACTGCTCTCCATGCAGTCCCAGGCCTGGGCTAGCTTCTAGCATTTAAAGTCATATACTACCTGCAGCCACCTGAGGCAAGAGATAGGGCAGACAAGACAAGAACAGGCAGACCCAACAGGCTAGGAAGGAGGAAGCTGAGGAGAAAGATACATGGAGATGTCTTAACAAATAGAGAATATTCAAAAAGAGGTAAAAGATTAGTGATTATCAGGGCCTGGGGGAAAAGGGGCGTGACTGCTTAATGGGTATAGGATTTCCTTTTGGAGTGATGAAAATGTTCTAGAAGTAGATAGTAGCTGTACAATATTATGAAAGTACTAAATGTCACTAATGTTAAATTATGTCATGTGTATTTTACCACAATAAAAATATTTTAAAAATCTGTTGGAATTTTGATTGGGATTGTATTGAATATTTAGATCAATTTGAAAAAAACTGATATCATGGAGCTCCAATCCATGTCCATTTGTGGGAAATATGAGATGTGCTACTCAGATCCCTCTTTACAGAAGGGCTTGCTACCCAATCACAGGGAGTATGGTCAGTAGATAGTCTCCAGCTATGAGGATCTTCAGTTCCTATCCTAACTGAAGACAACTGCCTGACCCTGGATCAGTGCTTTCCAGGACAGCCAACGTCCTGTGACTGAGCAGAGTGTGGAGGGTGGGGAGGTGGGTATAAAAGCCGTTGTGATATGGAACAACTCTATTGGACAGTATTGTTGCAGTTCAAATTCTTTCTCTGCCCAGTTCTTCTTCCTTCCCCTTCCTGTCATAGGTGTTGATACCTAATAAGCTTGTGGCACTCAAACTTCATATCAGCATCTTCTTTTGGAAAATCTAATTTGTAACATTATTTAATTCTATATTTTCTCTCAATAATGCTTTATAATATTCTGTATAGAAGTCTTGCACATCTTTTGTTAGATTTATGCACTGCTCTTTGATGCACCTATAAAAGGTAATTACAAAATTTTTATTTTCTAATTTTTGGTGCTAATGCTAGTATAATAGACAATCAATTTTTGTGTATTAGCTTTATTCCCGGCAAATTTATAATCCTCATTTATTAATTCTAATAATTTGTATATAGATTCTTTTGGATTTTCTATATAAACAATCCTATTATCCTCAAATAATGAGTTTTATCTTTCCCTTCCCAAACATTATATATTTTATTTCTTTTTCTTGCCATTTTGTACTGTCTAGCACCTTCAGTAATGGTGAATAGAAGTGATAACCACTGTCTCATTCTTGATCTCAGAGGGAAGGTGCTCAGTACTTCATCATTAAGTATTAAATGTACTATTGGGTTTTTGTAGAAATCTCGTATCTGATTTAAAAAGTTCCCTTCTATTTCTGTTGAGCTAAAAGAGATTTTTTTAATCTAAGAATAGATGCTAAATTTTATGAGATATTTTTCTGGTTTAATTGAGAGAATATTTTTCTTTTGTTCTGATTTTGTTTGAATGTTAAATATTCTTAGCATTCCTAGAATATGCACATTTTGGTCATGATGTTTTATCCTTTTTTTTTTTAATGAGACAGAGTCTTGCTGTGTTGCCCAGGGTAGAGTTCCATGATGTCTGCCTAACTCACAGCAACCTCGAACTCCTGGGCTCAAGCAATCCTCCTGCCTCAGCCTCCCAAGTTGCTGGGATTACAGGCACACACCACCACGCCTGGATAATGGGGTCTTGCTCTTGCTGAGGCTGGTCTTGAACTCCTGACCTCAAGTGATCCTCCCACTTTGACCTCCCAAAGTGCTAGGATTACAGGCGTGAGCCACTGTACCCAGCCTATCCTTTTTAAATATTACTGAATTTAGTTTGCTAATATTTTGTGTAAATTTTTTCACCTGTGTTCACACAAAACATGTAATTTACTGTCTCTGCCAGATTTTGTTATCAAATTTAGCTGGCCTCCTAAAACAAATTGGGAAATGTTCCTTCTCCAATTATATTCTGGATTTTTTTTTTTTTTTACATTTAGTATTATTTCTGCCTTAAATTTTTCTGAGGTTTTACCAATGAAGCCCTTTGTGCCAGAAGTTTTCTTTGTGAGAAGATTGTAAATTATAAATGCAATTTATAGCTATAGGTCTATTTCCTATTTATTCTTGTGCTAGATTTGATAAGTTGTATTTTTCTAGGAAGTTGTCATCTAAATTTCCAAATTTATTAGCTTAAAATTGTTTATAATATGCTCTTATGGTCTTTCTGATGTCTT